TAACTCCGAACAACGAAAACGGCTATTATTTTATATATGTATATAGATAAGTTATTAGGCTACAAATCCGCATACTAAAAAAAATAAAATNAGCCATATATACAAGGTATAACCTCTGAAAATTTGACTGAAATCTATCAAGTAGTTTTTGAGTTAACTCCGAACAACGAAAACGGCTATTATTTTATATGTGTATATAGATAAGTTATTAGGCTACAAATCTGCATACTAAAAAAAATAAAATAAAAAAAAAACCTGACTAAAAAGTTGAAAATTTTTTAGTAGTAAGCATATTTTTATAAAAAATAGCGGCAAAAAATTTAAATAAGTTGTGGCATATATTGTGAAAAATTCCGTGCCAATACTTTTTGCAGTGTATCTCGTTACAAGCAATATAAGAGTATTACGTACATACATACCTTTTTTTTGGCGGTATTTCGCATTTTCTTTTATATAAAAACAAATTCGATCATTCGTTTTAGGGAAGAAAATTCGAAACCCTTTCGACCAAAAAAAAAATCGAAGCGAATTTTGAAAAACTTCGAACTTTCACTTAATTATTGTGAAATAAAAAATGTCTTAAAATTCTCTTTTTTTTTTTAGAAATTTGTTGAATTTACGCCAACTTTGCATACAATTTTATATTTTGAATTTTGATTTCGACTTTTTTGTATTACTGAATGAAGTACAGCTACGAGCAGTGAAATAGTAGTGCGTCCACGCAGCCTATACTTCCTTCAGACTGTAAAAAATTTCAAATAATATTGCCCTTCGCAACTTTTTGTTGAAAAAAGGGTAGTTGCAATTAAAAATTATATTTAAAGACCAATGACGATTTTTTTTTTTTGAAGTTAACATAACGTTTTGCTATATATTGATGTAAGTCTGCTGATCCAAGATGCTTTCAGTCTTGTGAATCGGACCTACACGTACAGTGACTCAAACAATTTTTTTTGTTTTTTAATATTCGCAATGTTTTTCGAGCTAATTTTTGTTTGTTATTTTCTCTAAAAATATAGTCTAAATTTTAACCAAAAACATATAAATCAGTTTCAATCTTATAAAAAATTTAGCAAAAATTCGACAAATTCTCATCAAAATTTCAACTTTTTAATCTTAAGAACATTTTTGGGTATGCAACTTATGGCCCCTCATCCATATAAAATAAAGTAGGTTTAAAAAGCTTTATAAATTGACTTTTTCATACATTTTTCAATTTATAAACCCTTTGTAGAGCTACTTTATTTTTTATGAATAAGGCTATTACATTTATAGCCCAATTCTGTATCGGTGACAAAAATGATGTTACTGACAAACTTAAAATTTTTCATAGATTTTTCCGTAAAAAAAAAAAAAAAAAACAGAATATGNTAGTCTAAATTTTAACCAAAAACATATAAATCAGTTTCAATCTTATAAAAAATTTAGCAAAAATTCGACAAATTCTCATCAAAATTTCAACTTTTTAATCTTAAGAACATTTTTGGGTATGCAACTTATACCTTATCCATATAAAATAAAGTAGGTTTAAAATAGCTTTATAAATTGACGTTTTCATACATTTTTCAATGTATAAACCCTTTGTAGAGCTACTTTATTTTTTATGAATAAGGCTATTACATTTATAGCCCAATTCTGTATCGGTGACAAAAAAATGATGTTACTGACAAACTTAAAATTTTTCATAGATTTTTCCGTAAAAGAAAAAAAAAAACGGAATATGTAGTATGTATGTCAGCAAACTATTAAGCAAAATACATAAAAAATGAGAAATCAACAAAAACCAATTTCAAAACTGAAACGTAAAAAAAAAATCTGACCAGGGGGAGATTCTGTAACCAGTTAGCGACAAGTTTCGGATCGATATCGCACTTGTTGACGTAAAAATTTTTCATATCATACGTAAACAAAACCTATGCCGATTCCAAAATTGTCGCTAACTGGTTACAGAATCTTCCCCCNCATGATAAAAACATAGCAAGGTAGAACCGTTCTCTCAATTTGTCGGCCATGATTTTTTTTGAAGAGNCCAGTTAGCGACAAGTTTCGGATCGATATCGCACTTGTTGACGTAAAAATTTTTCATATCATACGTAAACAAAACCTATGCCGATTCCAAAATTGTCGCTAACTGGTTACAGAATCTTCCCCCAGGGGGGCCAACTCTAGTTCTATGAAACTGTGAAGTGAAAATGGAAAACTTAATGTCAGTGAAAGTTAAATTTTGTATCGTTTCATTATATCTATTTAAGCGATTCTCGAACAATAAATGATTTTCCATTAACATTTAGCAAAATTTATTATTTAGTATTGTGAGTTTAAGACATACTACGTTTATGCGACAGAATTCATGAATTCATTTCATGCGAACCACTTTGCCGCTAGCCAGCATAATTTTTCATTCATCGGTCAATGTTTGGCCCTCTGAATGTACATACGTCTAAAACACTGGAAGCGATTTCGTTTCTAGTTTTTGGATCAGAAGACAGACATGTATGTAGATGGATGGACTTTTTTATGCTGGAACCTAGAACTGCCTAGTACCAGGCAAAATATTCCTTCCTTGCTCACCTTGACATTTAAATCACAGANCATGATAAAAACATAGCAAGGTAGAACCGTTCTCTCAATTTGTCGGCCATGATTTTTTTTGAAGAGTGCCAACATTTTAAAATCATATAAAACTGAAAATAAAAAATTGAAATTGTTCGAAATTTTTGTTGCTTGAGATTGAAAATGAAAATGTGTGTGTGAGTTTGTGAGTAAATTTAAAAATTAAATTGTTTGGAAACGTCAAGAATTTTAAAAGAGACTCTCAGCGGTTCTACCTTACTATATTTTTATCATGAAATGTAGTATGTATGCCAGCAAACTATTAAGCAAAATACACAAAAAATAAGAAGTCAACAAAAACCAATTTCAAAACTGAATTGTAAAAAAAAAATCTGTGACCAGGGGGCCAACTCTAGTTCTATGAAACTGAGAAGTGAAAATGAAAAACTTAATGTCAGTGAAAATTAAATTTTGTATCGTTTCATTATATCTATTTAAGCGATTCTCGAACAATAAATGATTTTCCATTAACATCTAGCAAGTAATTATTTAGTAAATTATTGTGAGTTTAAGACATACTACGTTTATGCGCCAGAATTCAGGAATTCATTTCATGCGAACCACTTTGCCGCTAACCAGCATAAGTTTTCATTCATCGGTCAATGTTTGGCCATCTGAATGTACATACGTCTAAAACATTGGAAGCGATTTCGATTCTAGTTTTTGGATCAGAAGACAGACATGTATGTAGATGGATGGACTTTTTTATGCTGGAACCTAGAACTGCCAGGCACGTACCAGGCAAAATATTCCTTCCTTGCTCACCTTGACATTTAAATCACAGAGCACGATTTTAATGTCGTGACAAAGGCAGCGCTCGTATTTGCGATCCAAGCGCTCATAAGAGATCCTTGAGTGCCATCCGTCGGCAGCTTGGACGCAGGTGATTGTTGTTGTTGTAGTAGCATACAAGTTCCGCAAGGGGTTTTGGGGAGTGTTGCAGGAGTGACAGTCCTTGGCCAGATATAAATCTGGGTCGTTCCGGTTACGTAGACCCGACTGTCGTGGGACGCAGGTTGTTGTTGTTGATGTAGCGGCACTACTCGAGAGTGCTGCTAGACGTTCGTCTTTTAACAGTTTGCCGTGGTAGTCATCAAAAATACGGGGTTTCATTCGAGGCATTGTCGTACTTTTCAAAGGGAAGGGATTCTACTTGGCAGTATCCAAACACAGGGTACCCCGAGGGTTTGGTCTTCTCAACTTTAGCTCGATGCTAAACAGGTGTTTGCTCTGATTACTGTTTCTTATCATCTGGCGGGGCAGTGCATGTGTACCTCGGCTGGCATTGTGACTTCCGAAGCGAGTACATTTTGACGAAGGGAACAGGTTAGCGAAGCGAGTGGTTTGGCAAAACACTTAAAATTTGCTTTAACAGTATTCGCTTCGCAAGTCACAATACCTGAATTAATGTATACTAAAACATCGAGAAATAGGCCTATAATCAAAAGCATTAAAAAAATTGTATGCCCGAGTTTCATTGCCATAGATGTTCATAAATACGTAGGTATTTCCTTATCATCTTCCGAAGGCTGACGGAATATTTTGAAGAATACAATACCGTCCAACGCTTAGGACAAAAAATTGCTAAAATATGTTCATAAGTATATATCTATGCATGTTTGCTCTGATGTAAATTAGCTGTAAAAACTTGGCAAGTTTTGAAAGAAAAGTTTTCCCTTCGCAAAACGCGTGGAAAGGCGCGTACAATGACACTCCTAACCGCATTTAAATTTCCTCTTTTAAAGTACATATTTCTTTGAAAATTATGTATTACTATTACTAGCATTCAAGGAAGAAAAGTAAAAAAGTAGTAAAATCTTATTTATACATATAAAACACAACATAATTTTCCAGGAGAATCGGTCGCATAGCAGTCTATATGTAGCCCATATGGATCAATATCGATGCCAAAAGTTAAAATGCGTAATTGCCGACATCCAGCTGTGTCCATTTATTGGTATCTAGAAAGTACGGCCATATCCGCAATCAACTTTTTCATTAAGAAAAGCAGCCACATTAACTTCAAAGGAGGCAATCTACGCCCGTGGAAAATATGCAGCTGCTGAATAGAAGAATCAATAAATTGTTCGTAACAGAACTAAAGCACAATCCCTTTTCCACACTGTTCATTTGTTATCCAGAAATGCTAGTTAATCACAATGTAAATTCACAAAAATCGATAACGATATTCACAACTTTTTTAATCAATCGGGGCTCCGCTGGCACCAAAAACACCAACAACTAGCATGTATGTATACTTTTATCGACGCTGGCGTCAGTCGTGGCGCTCCGAAACGGCGGCGTCACATTTTTTCACTCATTACGAAACTTTTTAGAAATTTTTTGATCGAACTTTACTCACCACGAAAACCAAGAAAATTGAAAACAAACTACTCCAATGAAGCCACAATCAAATAAACGTCCTTTCTTGACTAAAATATCTTTATTAAATTTCCTAAAACTGCTTTAATTCTCCGTGAAAATTTGTCCGCAGCTTTGTCACCTAAATTTTTTCAGCAAATGACAGGTAGACACTTTCGTTAAGTGCAAAGGTTGCCAAATTTATCGTAAAATGTCCCAGGGTTGCAAGGTTTACGTTCTTCGGCTTTTGCAGACGAAAACAACCAAAGAACGAAAATGGTAAAGCCAAAAAGCATAGATTTTTTTGATCATTTTAATAAATTGATAATCTTTCGTTTGTAAATAGAGCATACAGAAGTGAGTTAACGAATATCTATATGTGCCCGGAATCTATCTGAGCTGTGTGAACCAAGCCTAAAATATTTTATTTGACGAAACCATCTTCAGCGACATCTAGAGGTGAGAACCACTATCTTTTCGTTTTGGCAATACTGCGAAATAATCATTTCGTATTTATTTTTCACAGAAATCGGTGGGTTTTTCTTTCAACATCTACGGAAAGTGGTTATTGAAGAAATTAAAGCAATCTAATTGATTCAAAATTAGTGAAAATAAGCTGAAATTATAATAAATCGCGCACAAAGTTAAAATAAAGCGAGCTTTTGAAGTCAAACGATTAATTTCGCCACAAAAAGTGAAGTGAGTGCTTTTTCATCAAAAACACGAAAGGCAAAGAAGAAGAAAAAAAAAACGTCATCTCTTGCCAATAGAATTGCTGATGAATACGATTTCAGCTGGAGGAGAAACAAAATAAAAATAGCACTGATTTGGAAAATAAGGAAAGCCAATTGGCTTAACTTAGTTAATCGTAGGCAATTAGGAAATAAAATTTAAATTCAATTGGTATCACCAGAAAGCAATAAAGCAGCATATAGACACGACGCAGCCGAACAAGGTTAGTGCGAATTGGAAAGTAGTAAAAAGTGCAAAAATGACTGTAATTTGTGAATCGTGTGGGTACTTAAATTATTTGTAATTATAGCAAAACAATACATATATAAGGTATGATGTATACAATGACGGGTATTCGCTGGGTTTTCCTAATGCTGTACATATGCCGTGCACCCATCTTGGGACTACATATGTATGTAGTCCACAATTTTTTATCAAATAATGCTAAATTGATATTGTTTCTGGTCTCAGCGAAATTGTTCCTCTCTAAACATGCGTAGCTCACAAATTACTTGCGCACACAACGTAGTAGTAACTCGGGCTTTGCACCAGTTTTACCTATGGTCACGAAACGACGTAGTACTGTATACACGTAGTATGTATATACAGGCGCATAACAGCTGGTGAAACGCTGAAGGCTTTTTTGGATTGCTTTGCTAAGTATTTTCAACCAAGGGTAACGTTACAAGTCGCCGCTAATCTTTAAAAACGTACATATACTAGCAGACCGGCGGACTTTGTTCCGCCCAGAATTAATTTTTTTATTTTTTTTTATTTAAACATATGGTCCAACGTTCCAAATCACCAAATGAAAGAATTATGTCCGCGAAGAAGTTCTTGTGGCAAAAATGATCTGGTTCGATGGTGAATCGTCCGTGAACCTGTATAGTGCATTTAATGGCAATTGGGGGAGTATCATTAGTCCACAGAAATCCAATATACGTATATTTATTTCAGACGAAATACCTTAGATTTCTTACAGTTGTTTTTGTAGGCACTTATCAAGAATTGTCTTTATTCTGTTTAGACGGCGTAAAGCAAGGACGGCAATGGTTCTGGTGGTTGGTTTAACGGTGATAATTTAACTTTGTTCCTCGGTGTCTCTGAGTGACTCCACTTGACGATTTTTACCAATAACATTGAACATTGTAGTATCAGCAGAGCAGCTGATTTGATTTATTTTCAAATTATTTGGTCTCGAAAATGTCAAATATTTTTAATTTTTTCTCACAAAAATTCTGAATTGTTAAAATCCATTTGCATGTGAAACCTTTTTCCATACAAAACAAGCGATTGAATAGCAGCTTTTGGAACGTTCGCCCAACTCGGCAGCACGACCGCTGATTACTGGGCCTTGCAAAGGATGGATCAATGCTTCGAGAAGCAAACAAATTTACTAGGAAAGAAAGTTGCATCAATTTTTATTTTTTCCAATTTCAATTTTTTATTTTTTATAATTTTTTGTATTTCACATGGCACGCTTTGATTTAGAAGAAAAAATTCAGAACAGTTTTTGACACTTTCGATACCAGAAGCAACAACAAAATACACGCAAATGTTGTTTTTGCTCTACTGATACTACCTGTTTAATGTGCCTTGCCTTTGCCTATATGTATATATCTCGAATATGAGCCAAATCGGACAATAAATACGATTTTTAGTAATAACGCGACTCCAGCGCCACCTGGTGTTTCAAGTTGCAAACCTAAATTATACAGGGACCCGCTCCAATACTTAAAAAAAATTGTCAAAATCGCTTCGGGCAATTAGGAGGGGTTCACTCACAAACACACGTACCGAAGAAGTATATAACGTGTGTCAAGTTAGCGCTACACTTTTCGTAATTAGCATAGTTAAACACGGCATTAATTGTAGTATTTTTGTTGTAAATTTGTTGCGGAAAGAAAAAATTTTTATCTCTCATTTTTTAGAAAAAATGGTATGTAGTGCTAACTTGACACCATGCCCCATTGACGACAGAATTGAGATATTGAAAAGGTTACAACGGCATTAATTGTAGCTTTTTTGTTGTAAATTTGTTGTGGAAAGAAAAAATTTTTAGTTCTCGTTTGTTAAGAAAAAATGGTACGTACTGCTAACTTGACACCATACACCTAGTCGATTGAATTGAGATATCCAATATGTTACTATGCCATTAATTGTAGCTTTTTTGTTGTAAATTTGTTGTGGAAAGAAAAAATTTTTAGTTCTCGTTTGTTAAGAAAAAATGGTACGTACTGCTAACTTGACACCATACACCTAGTCGATTGAATTGAGATATCCAATATGTTACTATGCCATTAATTGTAGCTTTTAACTTTAAAATTTGCTGTGAAAATAAAAATTTTGTAGCTTTCGTTTTTTTTGGAAAAAATTGAGTTGACCCTTTTTCGAACAAAATTTTGTATGTAGAGCTAACTTGACAGCATGCACCATTGACGACAGAATTCAGATCTTGAACAGGANAAATTTGTTGTGGAAAGAAAAAATTTGTAGCTCTCGTTTTTTAAGAAAAAATGGTATGTAGTGCTAACTTGACACCATACACCTTGTCGATAGAATTGAGATATCCAATATGTTACTATGCCATTAATTGTGTAAAACTGCATTTACAGATTACAAAAATATTGGAAACAAAAAAAGTTAGACGGTTTTTTGTCTCTACTGAAAAATAAAAAAAATGGACTTAGCACGTTTGCGAACGTTTGAATGATTTTAATGTTTTTCATAAATTACAAAATTCAGAACGCTAAGCGTTTTATATATGAAGTAAAATATACAAATCTAGTGGTCTGAAGCTTTCGATAGTCCACTCTATCGATAGTATGCGATAGTTTTTTAGAAACCATCGATAACTATGTTGTTGTTGTTGTTGTTGTAGCGGCTACAACAACCCCGCCCAGATCGGTTGGTATCTCAGTCGTTGTCGTCAAGTTCCACTAACGGCAACCCTAGGAAGCGTGCAGCTTCTGCGGGGTTTGCCCATAAGGACAAGGTCGTTAGGGATGTCGGGTTTGCCGGGCATGCGAAGAGATGTTTCGAGTCATGTGGGGTCTCTCCGCATGCCGGACATTCATTAGGCACATCCTCATTCAGCCTACTCAGGTAGGAGTTTAACCTGCTGCAGTAGCCGGAGCGAAGTTGTGCAAGTGTGGTGCGCGTCTCCCGAGGCAGATGAAGCTCCGTCTCGTCAATGTCCGGGGGTGGTGTGCCTAGAACGGCATTCACAGGTCTAGAGTCTACATAACTCGAGACTGAGTCCCTGTGAATGCCGTTCAAGGCCTGTCTGTAGGCTGTCGGGTCCAGAGGTTGCTTAATGAACCTCTGGACTTCGTCCGTNAGTTCATATAGATGCCTCCTGACGTGCCTAGGCGAGGGCTCCTCTGCAAGCAGCTGTCTGCACGGCTGTCGAAAGTTACTCCGAGTATTTTGGGGTTATTCACCGTCGGAATTGGTGTGTCATCGACGTGAATCCCCAGCGGTAGCCTGACCTCCTTCGTCCAG